TTCAACATTCAATTTTGGAATGAATGGAGTTTCTTGAAGGAAAACCACATTTACTCTTAGAATTTCGTTCTAGGAAATTTTTTCCATCCTGCTCCATCCTTTTTTTTTTTTTTAGTCACTGCGGTCAATAACGATCATCAATGTGAACCTATTAACTATTGGAAAGTTTCAAAAACAAATTTTTTAAACAAATATTTTTAGAACAGAAAATCCCAACATTTAGAGACAAACAGGGTTATTCACAAAAGGGTGAAGTGTTTGGAGAAGGCAGGAGAAGGGAACAATCTAGGACAACATAGCTGAGCTGGAAAAATTCTCCAATTCAGCTCATTTTCCAGCTCAGCTATGTTGTCCTAGGTTACTCACTTCTCCGGCCTTCTCCAAACGCTTCACCCTTTTGTGAATAAACCCTGAAAGTATTATGCAATCAGTGACCACAGCTACCATGGTTGCACTTTGCCTCACCTCATCCAAGGCCTTCTCCTCCCTCTTTTGGCCACCAAATATGATAACCAATCTCAATGACTAAGAGGAAAGTTGGTGGAAGGAGCTGGCAGTTGAGGAGGAAGACAGCAGAGCCTCGTACTAGTGATTGAGGTTTCATTCTATCGTACAACATTCCCTATTTAAGCAATGATTCTCAGTACACACTGCACTTATGCTGCTGACACCTACATGGGAAATTACTGTAAAGGTGGCTATAAACCTGCCGATTATCATACGATAATCGCGGGAAATCCCGCAATCGTACGATAATCGGCAGGTGTATTGTTTTTTGTCTTACCAGCACGTTGGAAAACCAGCTGAAAATCGCAAGATTTTCGGCGGGTTTGTGGCGCGCTCGTAAGAAAAATCACGCACGGGCCGGTGTGCGCAAGCGCACACTGCCCGCTCAGCATTGCAGTCATCAGCAGGGCCGGCTTGCGATGATCGCAAGTACGATCTGCCTGTCCAAGATCTGCCTTTCCACCTGAACAGTGCCTGTATCCAATCAGATTGTTCAGGTATTTTGACAGCCAGTGGGGGCCGACTAGCAAGATACTGAAGCTTGGCCCAGTGGGAGATTCCTCCATCCACACAGTTTAGCGTAGATTGAGGAATCTGTTGCACTTTTTATATGGCCAGCTTTAGACACTGAAGTACAGAGGCAGCTGTAAAGGTGATCAGGAATAAACACACTCCCACCCACCCCAGGTGGTTTCCACGGGTTATAAAGAACACACCAAAATAAAAATAAAACAATTGTTAAATATATCAAAATGTTAAATCATGAAATCAAGTCTGTATAAAAATGACTACATAGCCAGCTTGGCAGAAGAAAACAATATGTTCTGGATTGATGGAAACAAACACTTGGAGAAGATACAAACTCCATGCAGACAGTGTCCTTGGAGGAAATCAGGCAGAGGTCTCCAGTTTGGCAAAGCAAGAGAACTAACTGAGCTGCAGTTTTGATTCCATGTACCTGAGAGTTACTGATGTAATGATGAATAGTTTTACAAGTCTGATTAATTCCAGCCAGGGCAACCGAAAACCAAAAATACTTTAACAAATGTAGACACTTAGTATAAATTCAAAAGGTATGGCATTACATATATTCAAAGAAGAAAAAGATCTTTTATATAAGTTCACTATCTAAGGTATGACTAGAGTTAGGCCCCATTCACACGTAGCGACATACCTTTTGCAGCCGGGATAGCGCGACTTTCGGGGCGACGTACCAGCGACGGTAGCGCGACCTTCCCCGTCGGGCTCCATTAGAAAAAAGAAAAATCGCGCAAAATCCGCCGAAAAAAGGGTCCTGTAGAAACGACTTGCGACAGCAACGAGCGACATGGAGCTGAGACAGCTCCATTGAATATCATTTGCCGGCGACTTCTCGCGATATCGCACAGCAAAAATGCACGATCAATCGCTACATGTGAATGGGGCCTTATAGTTACGTCATTCATCAGTAAAAGTAGCAAAAGGTAATTCTTCAAATCTCACCAACAAGCCGACACAAATGATATAAAAAGACAAACTAACCAGAGGAGGTAAAGATGGTTTATCATACCGAGGATGTATGCTAAAACATCAGGGAGTCCACTAGTCATAGGATCTTACAGATGTAAACAGCCGAGGTGTGTGCCAAAATGTTTTTAAATACATTTGTAGAAATCACCTGTGAGACAATACAGGGAATATTCCACATGGGGTAGAGGACTTCATCATTTCCTATATACAAGAAGTTGTTCCATGACATGTGACCTTGTTCACTAGTTCATTTTATAAAGGAAGTAAGTAATTACACGGCCGGCTGGGAGCTTTACATTCAAGCGATCGAGCATCTCGAGACGCCCGATCGCTTGTATTAGCAGTTATCACTGCCGTTGCCGGTCCCGAGATCCGCTGTGCCCGATGCGGACGGGACCGGCACGGCTCTGTGACAGGAGATCAAAGGGAGCTCAATACGTGATCTCCCTTTGATCTCCTCTCAGTTCCCTAATGCCGGAAGTGATGTATATTACATCACTTCCTGCATTCAGTGTCACTCTCCAGCTACAGAAGCTAATGCGGCAGATCTCTGCTTATCAGATTCTCTGGGGGTCCCTACGTGACATTAGGGGTCTTGGGAGACCCCTGATGTCTTCATAAAGAGGACCTGTCATGCAAATTGGCTGTCACATAGGGGGCCCCCATGTGATAGCAATAAAGATGTGTGAAAAGAAAAAAAAGTAATACAAAAATGAAAGAATCATAAAAAAAAATAAAGAAGCATTAAACTGAAAAAAACATTTTTATAAAAGTCCTCCGCCCCCACATACACGTCGGGTACGCCTACGTGCAAAAACAACGATTGCGCCTATTGTGCCGCACGTTACATATAACCGCGAACGTCGGAGTGTGAGCAATAATTTTAGGGTCATTGATTACTGATAACACCAAACTGATGAGCGTTAAAAGCGTTTTAAGTGTCACCTACGGTTAATTTTCAGTGTGGTCGTTTTTTGCGATTTTGCGGGCGCACGCAATTTTAAGGCATGACATGTTTGGTGTCTATTTACCCGACGTGACCCCGTTTTTTATGTTTCACCAAAAATATGAGTAAGAATAGATGTTTTTTTAACATAACTTAGGGAAACTTTTTTATTTTTTTTAATTTACTGTACTTTTTTAATTATATAAAAATAAGTAAAGAAAGAGAACCTGTAAACAGACAAATAAGGTAGGACTGCAGCCTGAAGGGGATAGATAGTGAAAGAAAAGAGATAAGGGAGGAGGGGAGGAGAGAGAGAGAGAAAGAAAGGCAGCAGAAAGGAGGGAGGGAAAGATAAATATACAAGGAGGGAGGAAAGGGGAGCTATAGAAGGAGGGAGGAAAAAAAGAGATAAAAGGGGGAATGGAACAATATAGGAGTGAGAAAAGTAAATATATAGGACAGAGAAAAGGAGAGATATAGAAGGAGGGAGGAAAGAAAGTGAAAGATGGAGGGAGGGAAGTAAGGAGAAATTAAGGAGGGAGGGAAGTAAGGAGAGATGGAGGGAAGTAAGGAGGGATGAAAGGAGAGTTATAGAAGGAAGGTGGAAGGAAGAGATATAGGAGAATGGGAAGACATGAAGGAGAGAGGGTAGGAAAGATGAATGAGAGATGAAGAAAGAGGGAGGATGGAGATATAGGAGGGGGAAAAGAATGATGGATATAGAAGGAGGGAGGGTGAGATATGGAAGGAGGGAGAGATACAGTAGGAGGCAAGGGGGGAAGGTGAGATATAGGAGGGAGGGAAGGAAGGAGTGAAAAAGAAGGAGAGAGGGAAGAAGAGATATAGAAGGAGAGAGGGAAGAAGAGATATAGGAGGGAGGGAGGGAAGGAGACATATAGGAGGGAGGGAAAATGAGATATAGAAGGAGTGAAGGAAGGAATGAAATAGAAGGAGCGAGGGAAGGATTGATGAAGGAGGGAGAGCAGAGAAAGAAAGTGTGAGCTAAGTCTGGAGGGAAGGAGAGATATAGAAGGAGGTAGGGAAGAAATGAGAGTAAAAGAAGGAGGGAGGGAAGGAGAGTAAAAGAAGGAGGGAGGGAAGGAGAGAAAAAGGAGGAGGGAGGGAAGGAGAGAAAAAGGAGAAAGGAGGGAAGGAGAGAAAACGAGGGAGGGAATGAAGGAGAGAAAACGAGGGAGGGAAGGAAAGATGGAGGGCGAGCAGAGAAAGGAAGTGTGAGCCAAGTCTGGAGGGAAGGAGAGATATAGAAGGTGGTAGGGAAGGAAGGAGAGAAAAAGGAAGGATAGAAAAAGGAAGGAAGGAAGGAAGGAGGGAGGGAAGGAGAGATGGAGGGTGAGCAGAGAAAGGAAGTGTGAGCTAAGTCTGGAAAGAAGGGGGAGGAAAGGAGAGATGGAGGGAATGAGAGAAAGATGTAGGAGGGAGAGCAGAGAAAGGAAGTGTGAGTTAAGTCTGGAGTGAAGGAGAGAGGGAAGGAGAGAGAGCAGAGAAAGGAAGTGTGAAGGGAAGGAGAGAAGTTTCTGTAAACACAGGAAGAGGGGAGGAGATATATACAGAGGCAATGAGGGTCTGTATTGCACACTTTCAATTAATGTACAAGCTCCATCCCCGGTCCAGGACTGTGAATGACACCAGCATCCTCTGCACACACCCGGCCATTCATTGACATGATAAAGTTTACCACAAACAATTGGCGGAGAATTAAGAGGAGCACAGCTCTCTATGAGCCTCAATCCCCCGAATAGTGATTAGGCTCCGGATTTGACTCCTGTGACCCCCGGTGTACTCCTCTCCCCGCCGTGTCTCTCGCTCCCTTCCCCCCTCCAGACGACATTTCTCCATCTACCTCAGTATGACACCAGTCAATGCGAAGCGTAGACCTGCTGTCCACACGCACACACCCCCCTGTTCGGGCACTGTCCATGTCCCTCCGCCGACCTTTCTCTAGGGAGAGCATACCATCAGGGGACTTGTGAGGGGGGGAGCTGTGTGACCCGGGCATAGATAAAAGTGTCCGGCTTACCCTCCAGGTGAAGTGCGGGGTTCCGGGGCGCCGCTCCGGGGGGCTCCTGTGCTCCCAGTAGGGAGTGCGAACACACACACACAGCTGTTGCCGGGATGTCTTGTCTTTCTTTTCCCTTCGTCTCAGCTTGTACTGTCTTTTCTCTAGCAGGAAGGAAGAAGGGAATGAGGCAGGGCTGACGTGAATGGATGCAAAACAGCTCCTCCTAAGCCAGCTCTCCGTGAAAGAGAGACAGAGGGAAAAACAGAAAGAGAGAGAGAGAGAGAAAAGCTCCCACCCAGCAGCCTTCTATCTCTTTTGTTTTCTCACTTCCTCCCCTCCTCCACCAAGTTTTCTTTCTCTCTTTACACTGACTGGGGATTTTTCTTCCTTTGAAACTTGTTAGTTTATTAAAAGCAGAACCTGTTTTGTTTTTTTTCTTCTCTCTTCCTCCTTTCTCTTCCCTCTTCTATGTGACTCCCCCACTCAGCTTTATGTCAGCTGGGTAAAGTTCAGAAGACAAATCATATGTGTATAGAATTTCCACCACCATGAATCTTTGTCTCAGTATGTTTGGTATCTTGTCTCACTGTGAACAGTTTCTTTAAAGTAGAACTGAAACCAATTTTTTTGTTTTAGTTTTGGATGAGTAAGGAGGGGTCGTAACCACTGACATCTGTATCTCATTGGGGAGATTTCCCTTCACTTCCTGTCTGCTAGCCACAACAGGAAGTAAGGGAAATCCCCGGAGGTCAGTAGGGTCGCTGGAACTGGTGTCCCTAATGGAAGATTTCTCATCTATTCCTGTTCTGATGACAACCAGGAATGTGGGATTTTCATTTTCAGGGCTTGTTCACCCTGGCACGGCTGCGTATGTGCGTGTGCCCAGACAGTGTCGAGGTGCTTGTTCACCCCGGCACTGCTGCGTATGTGCGTGTGCCCAGACAGTGCCGATGTGCTTGTTCACCCTGGCACGGCTGCGTATGTGCGTGTGCCCAGACAATGTTGTCAGTTTGCCATGCGAGCTCCTTCAGTTGGCTGTTGGGCTGACTATCTGACAGACTTGATAGGAAGTCCAACAGCCAACAGAAGCATTTCACACGGCAGGCTGACATCGCTGCGGTTAATTGCGAGGCAGTGGCTTAGCATTGTTATTCTGTAACAGGAAGTTCTGTTACTGGCAGGATTTCCAGGTAAGAAATGTAAAAGATTCACAATAAATTATTTCCTTAAAGAAAATGTATACAGCGAGGTATGCTTGCTGCTGAACATATTGAAAATAGATTTTAGGTTTATATATACCGTATTTTGCGGCCCATAACACGCACCTGACCATAAGAGTCGTGTAGTTCCTGACAGCTGAGACAGGTGGCGCTGTGATTACAGTGCCACCTGTCTCAGTGATCACACAGAGCAGATGATCTACAGGCTCTATGGTGAGCTCCTATGCCGTGGTCTCGGGTCCCGGGGTGGGGGGGTAGGGGTGCGGACAGGATCGCTGCTGCTCCTTTCCTACACTTCTAATCAGATCACTTGTATGAAAAAGAGCGGCGGCTCCACACTAAACATTTAGCTCTGCTTGTCAGGAGCAGGGCTAAATGTACAGCTCTCACAGATTCGCTCCATAAGACGCACTGGGGGTAGTGCGTCTTATGGAGCGAGAAATACGGTAGTTTAAATCTGAACTCCCGGCATAAATACTTTCATGGAAATATATTCCTTAACCCTTTTACTGCCAAGGCCTTTTTTTTTTTGGCACACATTATATAATCCACATTTTAGGCCTGAAAATTACTTCAAACCCCCCAAAACATTATATATTTGTAGCTATAGAATACAATGGTGGCAGTTGCAAATTTTTATGTTGCACGATATTGGCGTACCTCTTTATCAAATCCACAAAATTAGTGAAAAATGCAATTAAGTTAATGTTAGTGCCCCAAAACACAGTATAATACCCATTTTTTTTTAAATATTAGGGATGAGGTTACAACGAGTAAATAGATACCCAACATGCCCAGGTTAAAAATTGTGTGCGTTAGTGAAACGGTTACAAATTTCAGTACCCCAAAATGTCAATAAACTTGCTTTAAAGCCCCTACAGGTCATCAGTTTAGAGATACGCATAAATATTGGCCCTAGAATTATTGCTCTCACTCTGGCATGCGCAGCGATACCCAACATGTGTAGTGCGATCAACGTTTTTGTACGTAGGTGTTTTCGTGAATGTTTGCTTGCGGGAGCGAGGCACTTAAAGAAGAAAAATTAATTATTTTTACATTTATTTTATTCTATATTATTTTTTAAAACAGTTTTTTTTCTTTTTTTTGTTACTTTAATTGCTATCACTTAGGGGGCTTACAAATCCCCCATGTGATAGCATATTGGCAGCGACAGGTCTTCTTTAAGGTGATACTGGGGGGCCAAAAGATAAGCTATTGACATGCAGATCGCACATCAATAGCTTATTGCTGGGCTTCAGTAGCCAAGCAATGACAGCTCGGGGACCGGAAGTGATGTAATCCATGTCGCTACCGATCCCATAGAGCTGCACCCATGGCTTCCCGCCGGCACCCAACATGCCGGTCCCGGGCCCACAGGGGCAGCGTAGCCTGGGAAACCTGGTGGTGGTGTCGGGCACTTTACCGGCCCATAGAAGTGATCTAGCGCCAGCTGACCTGCCAGAATCGATTCTATTGTAAAGCCAACAGCCAGGCTAAGGCATACAAACTCTGTATCAATATTTTTATTGACATTTTCCAAACAATATAAAGACATTGGTTCACAGTGCATTAGAACAGTGGATCATCATTATAGTCATAAAAGCACAATTAGTGTATCTATGCGTTATACATATGCACGCTCAAGGGGTAGGGCGACCATACAGTTATAAGCATTAATCACAATAAGCCATCAGTATGGCATTTGCATAGACAGCAGGTCCGTGCCCCCTGGTAGTGAGCCAATTATCAACCATAAACATAGGGTGGGGTAAAGGCCCCAAAGAGAAAAATAGAGGGGTGTTCCAAGTGAGGATCACAAAAAGTGGTTGCTTAAACCATGTTCTGACTAAGCTCCGGTGGGCGGAGCGAAACGCGTCTACCCGTTAATGTGTGTTATACACGCTATGTGACCTACACAGACGACTGCTTCCTTGAGAAACTGCTGACTGCAACCCCGAAAAAAACAACGATGGAGGGACATCATTTCCTCTAAACCACGAATTTATTCAAAAAAATCCCCTACAAAATCCTCCCCCTACAAATAAGTCATACACCAACAACAAATGTTGAAACCACAGGACTTCCATCTGGATATCTGGACACGCAAAGAAGGGGAACGAGACGACCAACTGTGAGTACGGCTGACTATAAAACAAACTTAAAATAGTCCATCACAGGTCTCCCCCTCGAAAAAAACTAACTACGGGAGGAATCTATTGATATAGGGGAAGGTTTAGAGGATCTAGGAAACCAAGTGAAGGACTTTTTCTCCTTAAAGAGATCTATAAAGAACACGGATATATGAAAGTCCATGACTACACCTTACTTATACAGGAATGTGTCCCCCTGCTCTATCCATGGTGAATCAAAGAGACTTCCTATACTAAATCACCAACGGATAGACAGAATCCATCAGACATCGGGATACCTATACAAAGAGTTGTCCCACTTGATCTATTTTGTCTATACTCCAAATCATCGTTTGTCAAGGGGTTTAGCACTGATCACTATCAGGTGCTCTATCTGGGAGTACTCCCTCGTTTCTGTAGGGATTAAGCTTGGTCGCAGTGTGTGTGGGGCCCATAGTGTGTATGAATGAATGTTTTGAGTGTCACAAACAACGTTGTTTTTTTACTGTGTCAGTAAGAAGCGGAAGTGTTGCTGCAAAGAATTGATGTTTTGTAAAACATAATAAAGCCTATATTTTTATAAAATTTAATGGTCTCGGTCTGTTTAAGCAACCACTTTTTGTGATCCTCACTTGGAACACCCCTCTATTTTTCTGTTTATCAAACCCTGGTTGCATGACCTTAGAGGACCAATTATAGATATGCACTTTAAGGGATTTGTATAGTATATCGGAGCTCCAGGGAATATACAATTTTTTCATTGAAAGGCCCCAAAGAACAGGTAGAAAGAAAGGGGAAGGGTGTTAGGGGGGTTAGTAGTGTCCGGTTACCCATACTACTAGGGATAGGGGGTGGTCCCATAATTCACACCCACCCACCATCCTACTGAGTATCCATAATTGCCACTCTCCATGTCTCGTACAGCTATCAAGCGGTTGCCCTCCTACCTCAAATACCTCGATAGCTCATTGGATCTATCCTTGGATGACGGGATAAGAGCCAGGGTTCCCACACACTTAGAAACCGGGAGTGTTTGTCCTCCAAGATACTAGACAGTCGCTCATTCAGCATAATATTGTCCAACCTGTGCATAAATTCGACATAGGGAAGCAGTTGTTTCTTCCAGTTTCCAGCCAGCGCCAGCTTGGCTGCCAAAATATAAAGTGTGCCAGAGCCCGTTGAGGCTTAGTCAGACCTGGTATAGACACATGGAACAGGGCATATTGAAGATTTATTGGAATATGTGTAGAGAATAGGGATCCAGTTAGTTTGAATATCCTAACCCAAAACCGTGTAGCCAGGGGGCAGCGCCACCAGGTGTGTAGCATATCCCCCGTCTCTCCACACCCTCGGAAACAGGTACCCGAGGACATGGGGTACAGACGCGCCACCCTGGCTGGGACCAGATACCACCTCATCATTACCTTGTAGGCTACCTCTGCATTTGTAACGCTAATGGAGCATCTTGCAATATTGCGCCATATCTGTTGCCATTCCTTCTTGGACCATTGTCGGTGTAGGTCCCCTTCCCAGCTGCGGACATAGGTGTGGGAAGTGTGGCTGACCAATCTGTTCAATTGTGAGTAGAGAATTGTTATAAGGCCTGGGCCTTCTGGGGAATGAAGACACATATGCTCGAAACAGGTAAATAAGGTGGAGGGGTCCCTCCTCTGAATTAGAGTGGAGGT